AGGAAAATGGCCTTACATACACACGACCTGTGATTTCACTTGAAGCAAGGAGATCACAACACAGCGACAGAATTAAAGAGATGCAAAATCTTCAGACACCGAGACGATTACGTGAGCGTGTCTGGTCGGCCACCAAACCCCTAGCAGATATCCTTCTAAGCCTGGCTATCAATGGAGGCAGAAGGATTTCTTTCGCGGTGAAACCACTAAGCTAAAACCGGGGTGCTCGCACTACGCTCTTGAGTTTCCTGTGGTGTTGTTTCTTGCCGTGTACTTACAGTAGAGAGTGACACCAAAAAGCTATATCAGCAGGTCCCCGAAGGTACTGAGTTAATTCTCAGCTAAGTCACAACAATAGCATCAACAAAAATACAAAGCACCAAATCATCGTTAGAAAGGAGTCGATAGCAGGTTATTACGGTTTGAAGATTTTATCCCAATTTTTTTTTTCGGTTTTGTTTTCCTTTAAAAAAAAAACCAAAACAAAATTCCACCCCCCCTCCCCCCCAAATCAAATAAAAGAAAGAGTGCTTTACAATCACTTTAAGGCTTGTACTGAATGGAACATGACAGGCCGTACACAAGAGTACAAAGAATACAAGTATGCCTTTTTACAGCCTTAAAATGATACAGCAGGTCAAATTATTTTGCCAGTCACTGATCAAGTATTGTGCCTTTAAATTGACTTTCTTTTTGCTACTATGCTGAGTTTTATTATTACTGAAATAGTTATTAGATATGCGTAAATCTACTTTTGTACTATATTTTTGGTATGTAATTTAAAGATCACGCGTTAATTATTTTCCAGAAATCAGCATGACAGGCCTCCTTCTGGACTCACTCACATGAGCGTGAATCAGGAGTCAGCCGACTGAAGTCAATGGAGTTACGGTGTGTAAAACTGTTGCAAGTGAGATCAGGTACAGTATCACTAGGGGAATTTGGTGCAAACTGGGTGTAGCTGGCCATCACTTATGGACCATTTACCTTAAGAAAACCATTGTATCGGGGGATTGCTTTCATAACAGGGTTTGATCCAGCCTGCAACGACAGGACCAAACTATGTTATAATCACGTCGCCAAATTGTGTTACGGCCCTGATCTTCTCTTTCAACCATTAAAGATTCAAATGTCTTTTGGGGTGTCTCTGCTTTGCTTTCTCATCTTTAGTCGTTTTGCTTTTTCACCAAAAGCCAATAAGAGCAGCGATTTTTTTGTTTGTACGTTTCTTTTTTTGTCGTGGTTGTATGTTTGCTGTTGTTGTTTTTCTTTGCTTTTCTTTGCTTATTTCTTTTTTTTTTTAACGTTTTGTATATTACGGTTGTTCGTTTTTTTCCTGGCATAAAATCACTGAAGAGTTTTGCATGAGAAAGGTGACAGTACTTAATGAAACTCAGCACCTCAGGGCATAAGGCAGTTGTAGGTTTGTTTGTTTGTTTGTTTGTTTTTATTTTTCAATCAGCACCAATCCCATAAATAATGTTCTACACTTGGTATAAGGTATAAAACGGATACGGAGACGCCTCTTCTCCACCTCTGGATCCTAGGTGTGGAAGTTGAAATACTGTTTCTTGCATGTAAAAAACAAAAGAAAAGTTTTTCTTTTTGTTTTTACTTACAAAACATAGAGAATATCTTTTTTTTTTTTTTTTATACATACAGCAACCAGAAAGAAAGCTTATCGGAAGGGTTGTGTTTGTTTCATGATCTGTATTTACCGTAAACAAAAATAAGGTCCCCTCTTTTACGATTTTTTTTTTCTTTTTTAAAGGAGCTTTAAAGTGAAGATTCATATTGTAGCAACTCATATAAGAGAGGTCCGTCTCTATACCTAATACCTACGGCTGTGGGGGTGACATACTGGAGAATGTTGATAGTCCTTCTTAACCTCCTGTCTACAAAATGAGCATCCCATGCGGGGTACCTTTTTCTCGGGATGTCAATCTTAATGAGAGGACCTTCTGGGTAGTAGGCCCGCCCAGATGGAGTAGATGGCACCATTGCTCTCACCTGGAAAACTGGCAAGCAAGTGTCAGCTGTGAGTTCCTCCTGTTGCTCCGTGACCGCTCTGGTAGGCGTAGCCTGGGCCCCCCGGTACCCAGGGGTTTGAGGTGCCATGGGCTCAACATCAGGGGGCAAAGGAATGCCCCAGAGCAGCTCGGCACAACAGGAGCTGGCAAAAATCTTAGCTCTTGGCCCCATGGGATGCAGCACACCATAATATAACAGCATCAAAGCTATCCCAGCAGCAAAGCTAAGAAAGACACAACACAGTGCTGGCACGGCATATGAGTCAGTAGTGTTAGGATCTCTGTAAAAATACCAAAGGAGTGTCAAGGCAGCATTCTCTGTCAAGACTACAGTGTAATATGCAAACATTCGGTATCGAGTCCGCCCTTCCTTGACATTAAACCAGCAGAAAATGTACACAATCCCTACCACCATGTTGAAGAGGATCTCCTCCCACTTAGACATGCAGAAGTCTGTCCCGCCATGGATGATCCAGAAAGCCATGGCGCACCAGTGGACCACTACAAAGATCCCAAAGTAGAGCTGGAAGATGGAAGCAAAGAGAGCAAAAGAAATAACTCTGGATGAGATGGTGAAGAGGCGCCAGAAGAGATGTATGAGGGCCCCTCTGTAGCTCATACTCTTCTTGTCGTCCCTAGAGTCCCGAAGAAGCTTGTGATAGGAGGCTAGCACCCAAGCCAGGGACATCAGGGACGCCACAGAGGACACACCTGCCGGAAGACACACAAATCCACAAAGTCAGACAATAGGCATTGATTGAGGACCTCACTCGCTCTCTACATGATCGTAATGGGGCAGGTACAATACAGGAAGAACTCCCACAAAAATCTACAGGGGAAGAAAAATGCTGAAGTATAAATCACTGCACCGTATGTTTTCCTTCACTTATTATTTCTAAGGAATTCTGCATCAGTGTATTTGTTATCACGAGCTTGATCCATTCTCCCAAATCAAAACACCCCCACACTTCGAAGGGTTAGGGACCAAGGACTTAGCATTGGAGCCTGTACTTATAATTCACATACGCCCTCTGTCCTGATCATGACCCCAACCAATCCACCCCGGGCCAAACTCTCGTGCAGCTGGAAACCAGATCTGGATCTAACTTTTACAACATCCCATGCGGGGTACATTTTTCTTGGGATGTCAGTCTTAATGAGAGGACCTTCTGGGTGGTAGGCCCGCCCAGATGGAGTAGATGTTTTTCTATTCTGTGCAACTTGGTCTTTTTATTTATTTATTTATTTACGCTTTGTACTTGATAAGCTAACCATTTTGGGAGGGATCTGCTATACTACAGCATCATAGAGTTATAATGTTGTTTACCACAAGGCAGGACAGTTATACCTTGTTTCTATGTAGTTTAGATTTTTAATCTGAAATAAAATGGATGCGAAGATCGTGATATTTTCTTGTGTTTGGACATGCCGTGATGCTAGAAGAGAAGCCGCTTATTTGGATTCAACATCAGTAAGAAGTTGTGGTGGACTAGTTTTGTCTTCACTTTGTGATTACTTGGAAAGACCAAACGTGGGTGAGTGTTATGGGGTTTTTGAGGGTCTGAGTGCTCTGAGCTCCTACTGAACTCAGCAGGAGTCAAAAGTGGACTGGTACGTCTTGGCTGGTTTCAATCTGGGCCCTGCGGACTTGACATCAATACCCTGTAGGGCAACGAGGATCTGCTGCATGATGCAGGAAGCCCTCCGCACCGAGTGACTCCAGTGCAAGTTGAAGGCTTCCAAGCACATCGCAGCATTCAGCCCATTTCTGAGGGATGGCAAGCCCAGAGTCAAACTGTTCATAATGGGCTTTTGCCTGCTTTCATTATCACCCACTTACAGCTATATCCACTTGTGACAGAGCAATAACTATCACCAGTTATTGCCAGGGTCACCAGTCTTTGTCTTGAAACCATCCTTGGCAGTGTGCTCCATGTACCAAGACATAGGCAAGAGGCCTTACTACACTCTAGGGCACGGAGGATTCCCAAGGTACTCAACCCACTTCCTTTAACACCTTGTTCTTCCCATACATGCGATAACTCGTGGCTCTCTGCCCTTCCAGAAGCTACCCTATGTGTTTCCTGTCCACTCCAGAGCAGATAGATGCCCAGCAGATTCATCAGGCTGCTTTCTGCTAACCCATGAGTACTCAGAAGATTTGTAACATGTAAGGTTTCCCACCCCGTCTTTTGCATTGAGGGCTATGGGACATCTCTCAAGCTCAGCTTTATGGATCTCCACCTGCAAGAACAGGGGAGACGAAACTTGGAGTCCATCATGGGCCATCTCCTGCTCCATTAAAGTTGATACCCATTTTGTTTGATTCTTTGTATTGACAAAACAGTGTCCATGCAATCCTCTGGAAGCCCTTGGCTTTCTTTTAAAAATAAAAAAGAAATGGAACCATCATCTACCCCAAGACCAGACTGAATAACCTAGTGACAACATAACTGTAACAAAGATGAATCAAGTTTTTCATCTACAAAGACACTGCCGGCGTTCCTCACCACTGCCACCCAACCCTACGCATTGCCCATCTTGCAATGGAGGAGGAAAAAAGATGGATGCGGTAGTGGGTCCAAAACACCAACACCAGCTATTCCCCATAGCTCTCAGCCAGCCGTGGAGCGAGGGGAGTTTTGCCACTGATTCTAGTGGGAACAGGAAACAAATATAATGAAAACCAGCAGTTATTTAACAAACATACAAACCCTCAGAAAAAAAAATCACAAAAGATGTTTGGGGTTTATAAAGGAGAGGAGAAAAAGCACAATTCCGTTCTTTTTTCAGGTGAAATCGCCCTATTTCCTGAAGCCGAAAGGAACAATTCTAATATTTGCAAAGTTCACATTTCCTTTTCCCTTCGCGTTCCAGGTAAAAGGTGATTGTTTTGTGCAAATCTTGCAAAGAGTAAACTTGCATCGACAAAAACATATGTTGACAATGCCAAAACTGAAATGAAGTCAGCGAAAAAATCAGTATAAACCACATTGCGAAGCCAAGGCAAAGGCAGCACTGTAGTCCCTGGAAGTCTATGAAAAACTCCGGGTCAGATGAGGACTGGGGGAAAACCATATAACAGAAGGCACCGTATGTGGAAACCACATTATAGTTAAGAGACGGTGACAACACACTGTGCCAATTTATGGAGGGCATGTCATCTTACTTCTCCCTAGAGGACACTAAACCAACCAATGGGGCTAGGATCTCACTTGAAGTTTTCCAGCTCTGCTGGCTGCTGAGCAGTATTTGAAAAACTCCCCTGTGTTCTCCAGGTTTGCAGGGAAATAAAAAAGGACACCGTGTGTGTGTCCCCCAAGTCTCTTGCCTTCATATTTCTATTAGCAGATGTCAGAAAGCAAGGTCCAAATCCTGTTTTGCCTTGAGGTGCCTAAGTGGCTCTCACATAGCTGTGTAACTGTGGTTTACGGCATTTACACATGGTTAGGCTTATCTCTCCATATGCAACAGAACAGGAATATCAGAGGTGTGTGTACTTGCTGGAAGCAACACGGGTGCCTTTCAGCCCAATAACTCAGTGCTTAGGGCACTTGAAACCCGTATTTAAGGTACCCTTGACCTAGAGGGTATTTGAGCCTGCATCTTCTGCTTCCCAGAAAAGTTCCTTAAGCACCAAGCCCCAGGCTCAGCAATATCCAAGAAGAAGCTAGTTAAGGTGGAAGGATACGTGGGGGCCAGGATGAGGGAGTGTGGCTCAATGAGACAGATGCTGCATTACTTTCTAGCCCTGGCCCAAACCTCCAATGGGACAGAAGTGCTGTTTACAAATACTGCTGTTTGCCCCATTTTAGCTGATATCATCCTTATTACTACCATTCCAAATATTAAATGCAAGGTGCAGAAAGCACATAAGGGATAAGTGGCAAGACCAAGGACCTTCCATCTCACTGAGCCACTCCATCTCTCTTGGGAGCCTGGTCCTGGCCACCCAGGCACATCAATGTAGAATAGGATTGAGCCGTCTGAGATGGGGCAAGGGGAAAGAACCAGGTAACTAATTAGCATGCTCCAGCGGACTCAGTTGGGGAGATCAAATGAGGATTCATCCTAGGAAATCAGCAGTTCTGGCTTAGCTGGTCTGTCCTTAAATGCCTACTAAATGAATAGAGCATAAGATTTAAAGATAATCTTTTCATCTGTCCACACTAGCAGCATGATTTCCTAGGATGAATCCTCATTTGATCTCCCCAGAGAATCACATCACGATTCAAAAACTGCAGCTGATGGAGAATCGACCGCACACCTTGCCCAATTATTTCAACTGCTAATTAGTCTCCACAATTGTGCCTTATTTCTGGCCTAGATTTGTCTAGCTGCAACTCACAGACATCAGATGTTCTTATGCCTTTGGCAGCTAACTTGAGGAGCCTGGTAGGAAAACTTTTTACACCCCGTGCTCAAGTCACCTTAGCCTTCTCTTTGCATGTCCACAAAGCTCAAGCTCTTGGAGCCTCTTCCTTCCACCTTGGCCTTCCTAATGTTCTCCATGCATGCCTATGCAATACTCTCATACCCTTTCCTACCACTATGACCATGTTTCCACTTTTTATAGGATTCCTTTTCAAGTTTCAGCTCTTTGAAGAGATTGCTGGTCAGGCTGGTCTCCTGTTGCACTTCTACTTTCCACCTATCCTGATGAGACAGAAGAATGGAAGGTAACTTGAGTGACAGTGGGCATCTACACGTGCATTAATGCACCGTAGTTACTGCACGTTAAGTTTAGTACCTGTAATAACAGGTACTAACTCACTGGTGCATGCCTTTTTAGTGATGCTCATGTGCAGCAGACTAATTTTACTGCACATGGCTTTTGCCCTGATGCACTAATGCAGATTAGAATTAGTCTACTGGCGCATTATCATTTTGTGTAGATGCACCCAGTGACCACAAAATGACTATCAAGATCTGAAGGGGAGGAAGAAAGAAGAGCAGCAAAATAAGGACAGTGCAGGTATGTCTACATGTGCTTTTACATACCCCTATACTTAATGTACATTTGCCTAATACACATCACGTTGAAAGTAAGAGGAAGACCAAAGATTTTAGGTCCCCTCTGGAATGCAGAAGGCAATCTAGTTACAGACGATGCACAGAAGACTGAAGTATTTAATGTCTTTTTTACTTCATTTTACACAAAGAGGGGCAACTACCAGACAATGAGCAGTTGGCAGCAGAGACAAGGAAGGAGACAAAGGACACCTATACACATGCCCAATGCCTGCTCCGGCATGTGCAATCTATAAACCTGCTCTGATGCATGCAATTAATTGAGCCTGCTGGAGCAGGCTAATTAGTGCACTCCAGCAGCCTTGGCCTTATGTGTATTCAGCATCCCCACATTTCAAAATGACAGTGGGGGTGTTTTAACTAAAGCTCATCGAACGAGCTTTAGTTAAAGCACCACTGATAGACTGAATACAAGAGACACTGCGGGAGCTTTAATTAGCGTGGCTCCCAAGAGCCACGCTAATTAAAGCACCCAACTCCACCCACCATACTCCAGACCACATGTAAAGATGCCCAAAGAGTCAATTACTTAGAGAAGCTAGATGCTTTCAAATTGGCAGGACTGGATGGGACACACGGAAGGGTACTGAAGAAATTAGTTGTGGTAATTTTGGAGCCATTGGCTATCGTTTTTGAGATCTCATGAAGGTTGGGTGAGGTCCCAGATGGCTGGAAAAGGGCAAATGTAGTGCTCATCTTTAAGAAGGGAACAGTGGCATACTGAGGCAGGGGAGGGGGGGGCCCTTGGGTGCTGGTCAGGGGAGGGGGTGGTGCTGGCCAGAGAGGCCGGGGTGCCTCCCGTGTTTTGTATGTGGTCCACCCGCCCGCCTGGCAGGTTATGGCGTTCTTTGGCTGTTTTGGCCAGAAATTCCAGCCACCACCCTTTCACCATGGCCAGTGTGCCACGCTGCTAATTCCCCTGCAGAAGTGCCATGGGGCAGGAGGCGGGGTCCCGCACGCTGCTTGGGTCACCCCCGGGAGGACGGAGAAAGCCACGGTACACCACTGGAAGGGGAAGAAGGAGGATCCAAGGCACTGGAGACCAGTCAGCTTGATCTTGATGCCTGGAAGGTCATGGAACAGGTCCTCAAGGAATCTGTTATGAAGCCTCGAGGGGATAACAAGGTGATCAGGAAGTGTCAGCATGGATTCACCAGAAAAAGTCATGACTGACCAACCTGATTTCTTTCTATGATAAAGTGACAGGTTCTGTGGATGGGGGCAGAGGAGTGGGTATGGTATACCTTGACTACAGCAAGGCTTTTGATACTCTTCCATGACTGCCTCATTAACAAGCTAAGGAAATAGACTAGCTGGAAATACTGTACGGTGGACACATAACTGGGTGGATCATTGTATTCAGTGAGTAGTCCTCTAGTTGGAGAAGGTACCAGGTGGGGTTCCCCAGGAGTGTGTTCTTGGTCTGGTATTGTTCAACATCTTGATAAATGATTTGAATGATGGGACCTTGTGGACACTTGGGAGGATGCTCCAGAGGGCAGAGTTAGGATCCAGAATAGATAGACTGGAGAAATGGTCGACAATCAGTGAAATGAAGCTTAGCACAAGCAAGCTCCAGTGGTGCAATGGGCTAGCACATGGTACTTATAGAGCAGTACTGGAGAAGTGATGCCAAGGTTGTGAGTTCAATCCTCACCTGGAGCATGTGACTTTTTGAGGACTATTACTATCAGGCTCTTCTGAAGAATGAACTGAGAAGAGCACGGATGCCCAGATACATGAACGTGGACAACAGGAAGATCAACAGGGAGCTCCTTGGAAGATAGTTATCTCAGGTCCCAAGACAGTACCAGGGTCGCTCCTCCCTTGGAACTGAGCAACAGGTATGCACATTACGCCTCTATGAAGTGGCTAGCATCAACTTCGGATTTGGACTCAGCTGGTCGTGTGAACCCAGCATTCACTCCTGCCTGTGGCAGGGGGTCAGGCTAGATGATCTGTTCAGGTCCCTCCTGACCCTAGCTACTATGAAACTATAATTTGAGGGACAGTGATTTGATTCGATGATTCGAATCACTGTCATGGATTGATTCGGATGAATCTGATTTGGAGGTTCGGCTGCCACCGAATCTCCGAATCAAACAGGCCCCATCCCCCATGCACTCTCCCAGCCCCATCAATGGCTTCCCCACCTGACCCCACCATCCTGGCACTTAAAAAAAATGCCCTCCACTCACTGGTTCCTGCCAGGCAGGGGGCAATCCCCCCAGCACCCCACTGTCCTGCCCTGTATGGGGGGCCCTGCCATGAGCCCCTAGAAGCCCCAATGGCTGCTGCAGCAGCCGGTGGGTGTGGGTTTGTTTTTTTTTTTAAAGCACTGGGATGCTGGGGCTGGACAGGGCAGTCATTGACAGGTCTGGGAGAGTGAGCAGGGGTTGGGGGGCACTCAGGGGGGCTGGGGGAGCAGGCAGGGGATGGTGCCTGGCGGGGGCCCCCTCATGGTCCCCTTCCTCTAGTCCTGCCCCACCCTCTACTTACTGGCATGGAGCCTGGGTCCAGGTTCCTGCGGTGGCGAGCGGGGACTGCCCAAATCACCGGATCTCTGAATCTTTCTCCAAATCTTTTTTGAATCAATTCGGAGGCTTCGAATTGATTTGAACCTTTTTATTAGTCTTCTGATTTGATTCAGATTTGGAGATTTGGCCACCAGATCAGGCTGAATCTTCTCTAAATCGAATCAGCACCTAAAGCTTCGCACAGCCCTAATGCACATCTCACATCACCAGCAGAGACATCAGTAGAAACACCAGCTCTGGATGAGGGGAGGCAGCTAGCTGCCACCCCTAAGAAGAGATGCAGGATGGTTGTGTTGGGTGATTCCCTCCTGAAAGGGACAGAGGGAGCAATCTGCCACCCTGACCCTCTGGCCCATGAGATCTGCTGCCTCCCAGGGGCCCGTATCCAGAACATGGCACAGAGGATTCCTAAATTTGTCCAGCCCTCCGACCACTACCCCATGCTCCTCATTCATGTGGGCATGAATGACACGGCTTAGAGCAATCCTGGCCGGGTCATGAGTGATTACAGGGCTCTGGGGGCTAGGCTTAATGGGTTTGGGGCACAGGTAGTTTTCTTCTCCATTCTCCTGGTTGCAGGCCATGGGCCTAGGGAAGATGGACGTATTGAAGAGGAGAACCAAAGGCTCCAGTGATGGTGCTACCGAAAAGGTTTCAGCTTCCTTGACCACAGTATTAACTTCAGAGACAGAGATCTTCTGGGATGGGACGGTATGCACCTCACATCAAAGAGGAAGGTTCTTTTCTTGGCCAAGATGGTGGACAGGCTTTAAGCTAAGATTGCCTGGGGACAGGGGGACAACAAGAGGAGAGAGCCCAGGGGCCAGCAAACAAACTTCCATTACAACAGAAGAAGACAGGAAGGACACTACAGCATGAGCTGAGGGAGTGGAGCTCCCTCAATGTGACAGAAAACCGAGGACTTCCAGCAGAGGGCTCAAATGCCTGTACACAAATGCCAGGAGCATGGGGAACAAACAGGAGGAACTGGCCCTCCTGCTTTCCAGAAGGGATAGGGATAACAGAGACCTGGTGGGATTCTACCCATGACTGAACTGTAGCTATAGAGGGCTACACCATGCATAGGAGAGATCACATTGGGAAAAAGGGTGGAGGTGTAGCTCTATATGTAAAGGAGCAGTAAACATCACTGGAAGCTGAAATTGGTACCAAGGAAGGGCAGCTTGAGACCCCCTGGGTCAAGATATGGTGGGAGGGACATGGTGAAAGGGACCTAACTGTAGGAATATAATACAGACCTCCAAATCAAGATGAGGAGCTAGATCTGGAATTCTCCAGAGAACTGGAAGAGGCTACGAGAGCATGGGATATGGTCATCATGAGTGACTTTAATTATCCAGACATCTCTTGGGAAGAACACTCAGCCCGACCTGACCGGTCACATACATTCCTGACTTGTATCAATGAACTCTACCTGTCTCAGGACATATGTTCCTAGATTTAGTTTTGGCCAATGGGGACAACCTGGTGTGTGATCTGACAATAGAGGGTAACCTGGGCAACAGTGATCACTGTCCATCATGGGGCTGAGAAGTCTGTCAGTAAGGTACAAATTCTTGACTTTAAAAAAAAGCTGACTTCAATAAACTAAGGACTTTAGTGAGGAATGCCCTACAGGATCATAGACTGCAGGCAAAGAGTGTGGATGAAGAGTGGTCACTCCTCAAGGGCACAGTCCTTAGTGCACAGAAGTTGTCTATACCGGTATGCAAAAAATGGTGGCACAGGGGCTGGGAGGCCATCTTGGCTCAATAGGGAAGTTGCAGGTCTTCTGAAAAAAGGAAAGGGAGGCTTACCCACAATGGAAGCTAGGAATACGTCCCAAGGAGAACTGCATAAGATTGGCCCACACATGTAGGGGGCAGATTAGAAAAGCAAATGTGGTGACCAAATTTAGGTTAGCAACCAAAATCAAGAACAACAAGAAGTCCTTCTATAGGTATGTAGGTAACAGGAGGAAAACCAGTGGGACCACTGCTCAGTGGATCTGGACATCTGATTCATAGGTTCATAGATGTAGGGTCGGAAGGGACCTTGCAGATCTTCTAGTCTGAGCCTCTGCCCTGGGCAGGAGAGAAAACTGGGCTTAAATGACCCCAGCCAGGTAATTATTGAGCCTCCTCTTAAAGCCCCCCAGGGTAGGAGCCAGCACTACTTCCTTTGGAAGTTGGTTCCAGATCCTAGCCGCTCTGACCGTGAAGTAGCGCCTCCTGATGTCTAGTCTGAACCTACTCTCAAACAGCTTATGGCTGTTATTCCTTGTTACTCTGGGAGGTGCTCAGGGGAACAAGGTCTCTCCCATTCCCCACTGGCCTGCCCTAGTAAGTTTGTAGATGGCCACCAGGTCCCCCCATAGCCTTCTCTTGTGGAGGCTTTACAGGTTCAGGTCCCATAGCCTCTCCTCATAGGGCCTGTCCTGCTGCCCCCAAACATGTGAGTGGCCTCCTCTGGACCCTCTCGATGCTGTCCACATCCCTCCTGAAGTGCGGCGCCCAGAACTGGACACAGTACTGCAGCTGTGGCCTGACCAGTGCCACATAGAGGGGGAGCATCACCTCCTTGGACCTGCTCGAGATGCATCTGTGGATGCATGACAAGGTGCAGTTGGCCTTACTGACTGTGTCCACACATTGGCGGCCCATGTTCATTTTGGAGTCAATGATGACTCCAAGATCTCTTTCTGCTCCTGAGCTTTCAAAAAGAGAGTTCCCCAGCCTATAGGTTCTTACTGCCCAAGTGCAGCACTCTGCACTTGTCAATATTGAATCCCATCCTATTCTCATTTGCCCACCCCTGTCACCTGTCCAGGTCCAGATGTACCCTGTCCCTCCCTTCTGGCGTGCCTACCTCACCCCAAATCTTGGTGTCATCCGTGAATTAAACAGGGCACTTTTCACTCCCTCATCCAAGTCTCTAATAAAGAAATTGAACAGCGCAGGTCCAAGGACCGAGCCCTGGGGAATCCCACTGCCCACATACCTCCAGGTCGAATAGGACCCATCCACCACTCTCTGAGTGCAGCCCCTCAGTCAATTTGCAATCCATCTGGCTGTGTAGGCATCACAGTCAATGCCACAGTCACCTAGCTTTCTAATGAGAATGGGGTGGAGACAGTGTCAGTGTTGGTGCCCCCCAACAGGGTCACCGCTATCGGTGGCTTCTGCGGGTGCCCCCCCAGATTCAGGAGGCACCAGTCACTCGTGTCTGGGACTTCTCCTGTGCGCCATGAATTCTCAAAGAGGTTCGCCAGCAGTCCTGTGATGACTTCAGCTAGTTCGTTCAGCATTCTCGGTTGGATTTCATCCGGTCCTGCTGACTTATAGATATCCAGCCTCTCTAGCTGTACTTTCACCAGCTCTACATTGACTGTTGGTAGGTAATCACTGATCATCCCTACTGTGACTATTCTGCATCATATTTGCATTCGGCAGGCTATCACTCTTAGACTGGTAGAATACAGGTGCAAAGCACTTGTTCAGGACTTCATTTTTTCTCCTTGGTGTTGGTGATCATGAGGATACTGGGACCAGAGGTCTGCTCCAGTATAGCAATTCCCACATTCCTTATAGGTGAACCTGAAAAGGTCTTAACACTTTCTGATCAAGGTGAATGTTTCTTTAGAGTAGACCTAGATTTCTGCATTGCTATCTACAATTACAATCTGCAATCTACTATCTGCATTGATAGTATCTGCATTGATACGATCTGATTTCTGCATTGCTATCTACAATCTAGCGTAGCTGTCTATTGATACACTACTATACCTCCCCCTCAGGCCCAAACTACAGAGCACATCTAACACCTTCCTCTTCACGCATACCTTTCCTTTTCTTCATTACAGATAATGTGGTGCTGTAACTGCTGCCAAATGCTAGTTTCTTTATGTGGTGTCCTCCATTGCTTCATGTGGTTTGACTGGGGTTTTTAAGCTCCTGTAGTTTAGTGAAGAAAGCTTTCTAGGGTGGGATTTTCCAAAGCTCCCAGTCACTGCCTACATTTGCTTTCACTGATGTCAATAAGCATTGAAATTTCCACCACTCCTGGGCTGACAGTTCAGGTCTGGGAGCAGAGGAGAACCTCTATGAGACGTTGAGTGCCTCCTGCTCCTACTCAACACCTTTTGAAGCACTGTGTGGTCAACATCTCTTAGGACGAATACTCAAATTTTTAAAGTAATTTAGCAATCTCACTTTCACTGATGGGAAATAAAAGCCCTAAGGCCTTTAAAAATCTGCCCTTCAATTCTTGCCTCTCTATATATCCAATAGTTCTCCCAGCCCCAATCACTGTAGTATCTGAGAAGCTCCCAATACTGAAGGTTTTACCTACCTACATCATGTCAGATGGACAAGTACGTTATCTCCATGTTACAGATGAGGATCTGAGGCATGGTGAGATTACTAGAGTTGCCCAAGACCCTACAGAAAGCCTGTGGAAGGGTAGGGAATATAGACTATCCCAGACCTGGATATTATATCTACCATCCTGGGGCAGTACTAGGAGGACTTGGAGCTGTAATTCATTTTTTTCCCCTAAGAACAAGTGTATTTTAACTGCCTGAAATAGCAGTTTTCGTAGGCAGGACAAGGATTGATAATCAGTAAACCACAATTATAAGAGGTATTGGAAAACAATCAAGAGAGGGAAAAAGCAGTCAAAATACAAGGAAGAAAAAACCTTCCTTACATCGAGAGCTCATTGACGGTGGAGCTTATTGACTTCTCTGGGGAAGGGGCAGAAGCCTCATTGCTTGGCACAGTCAAAAATTAAGTGGACAAAAATACTAGTGTATATTGTAGGGAAAAAGCTTGTACTGGCCCAGGGAGGGAGATTGAGCAGAATCCCCTCCAGTGAAACGGATGGGCAGAAGTGCTATACGCCAATAAAACCGCAGTCAAATCCTTCAGGGTAGGCTGAATTTCACTCTGAAGAGCCTAACTAGTAGCGTTTGTTCCCTCATTCTGATATGAATGACTCAAAAAATAAAAAAAAAATAAAAAAAGTCATAGCAAGAATCTAATTAAGACATCCCCCAAGACTCTTGATTTACCGCTTTCTGAACAATCGATATTTGCAGGTAAGGCTTAAACGACATGTAATTCCCTTAAAACCAGACCAAATCACAATCAACAAGAAAAACACAGTACATGAAAAGCATTTAATCATCAACTGGTCTGCGTTGTTCAGGTTAAACATTTGCATTTAACTTTACAACGGCTCTGTTCAAAGCTATCTGGCACATCATGGACGGAAAACCAACAGCGTGCGCTCGCAGTCCTAGCTCTTGGGGTTGGCCTGTTGAGGAAATCAAGTGGCTCTTTCAAAAGGATACACATGTCATTTCATAAATCATCTACCAGCTCAGTTATTTTCCGCAATTGTAATGTACTTACCGTATCATAGTCCCTAAATACTCACTGTGGTGTCTGTCCCATTAAAACTGAAAAAGATGCCTATCAAGTTGATGTTCTATTTCCTTTTTCACATTAATTCTCCTGACGACTGGTCTAAAAAAATGGGAAGATACAAAACATTCTCTCAGGTGAACTGGACACCACAGTAAGTATTCAGACCGTGACATGAACCCTTCCACCAACTCTAGTGTGGTGGCCTTGCCTGCTTCACGTTAAGTGCTAATTTCCAGTGACAAGAGGCACCTGCTCACCGGTGAGTCAGCTTTCAGTGCTGGGAAGCCTGTCATCATTTTTATTCCCAAGTGGTGCATTCATTTGCGGATGCCTTGAAGCTCAGTGTGAAATCTGCTTCTTCAACAGGTCTTATTCTTATCTATTTTTAATTTTTTTTTAGAAAGCGACTTACTCTCATCCCATAATGGCCACACGTGAGAGCCACTCCTTTGATTTCAGAGAAATTCTTCCCAGTGCCTGTTTTACATTTGCTCCTGTAAGATTATTTTGTTGACCCTTTTTGTTTCCTTTCCTCATTCTTCCTG